AAGGCGGTCTGGCTATAGTTCCTGATGAACCGACGATAAAAATTTGCAAAGCCTAGAAATCTCTGTAGCTGTTTGCGGTTCTCTGGAACTGGCCAGTCTAAAACTGCCTTTATCTTGTCCTCAGATGGTTTTACCTGGCCGCCCTCGAGCACAAACCCCAAAAAGGTGACTGAAGACTGGTGAAATTCGCACTTCTCGGCCTTTACGAACAGCTTGTTCTCCAGCAGTCTCTGTAAAACAAGGCGGACATGTTTCTTATGTTCATCGAGGTTCTTGGAGTAAATGAGTATGTCGTCAATATAAACGAAGACAAACACATTTAAAAAGTCTCTGAGAACATCATTCACGAGGGCCTGGAAGCAGGCTGGAGCGATAGTTAGACCAAAAGGCATTACCAAGTACTCAAATTGGCCCAATGGAGTCTTGAAGGCTGTTTTCCATTCATCTCCTTCTCGGATCCTAAGAAGATGATATGCGTTCCTTAAATCCAGTTTAGAGAAAACTGTGGCTCCCTGTACGGGTTCAAATGCAGAGGCGAGTAGAGGAAGTGGGTATTTGTTCTTTATTGTGATCTGGTTCAAACCTCGGTAATCAATACATGGTCTCAGGGAGCCATCTTTCTTTCCAACGAAGAAGAACCCGGCGCCCAAAGGAGAGGAAGATGGGCGGATTATTCCTGCAGCTAATGATTCATTAATGTATTTTTCCATGGTTTCTCTTTCAGGCTTGGAAATATTATACAACCTGCTGCTAGGTAGTGGTGCACCAGGTAAAAGTTCAATGGCGCAGTCATATGGTCTGTGTGGAGGTAGGGACGTCGCACTGACCTTACTGAAGACAGGAGCTAGGTCATGGTACTCGGAAGGAACAGAAGAAAGGTCAGGAGAGTCCATCTCCCCCCCACCTCTAGGAGACCCCACCAAGGGGGCAGCTGAACGGAGGCATGTTTCATGGCATGAGATGGACCATGATTCCAGGTGACGCTCTGTCCAATTAATGTGAGGATTATGCTTCTCCAACCATTCGAAACCAAGCACCAGAGGGGAACATGCAGAGGGAAAAACAAAAAATGTTATTGTCTCTCGGTGGTTACCTGACAGAAGTAGCTCGAGGGGCTGAGTTTGATGGGTAACTTGGTGAAGTCTCTTTCCGTCAATAGCAGAAACACTAAGAGACTGAGTCAGAGGAATGGTTTCAATTTGGAGTTGTTGGACGAGGTTAGAATCTATTAAGTTCCGTTCACAGCCTGAGTCGATGAATGCAGAAAAGGAGAGGCTTTGGTTAGCACAAAACAACGTGGCAGGAAGTAACAGTCGAGGAGATTTCTTAGTGTTAATTTGGCCCGCCAGACTCCTCAGATCCTCTGGCGGGCCCAGGCTTTTGATTTAGCCGGGCAGGAAGCGATGAAGTGTCCACTCTCACCACAGTAAATGCATAGTTTGCTTAGAAAACGTCTTTGTCTCTCCTCTGGGGTTAGCCTCGTGTGTCCCACCTGCATGGGTTCGACATCTCCTTCGCCCGAATGAGAGGCCTGAATGGGCAGCGGTAGAGACTGGGACTTAGGTCTCTGAATGGGCAGCTGCTCTGTAGAGGAAGAACAAACAGTCACGTTATGTGAGGCAGAAGAAAGTATCCCCTGCTTTTTAGAACTGTTTCTGGCACGGATTCTATTGTCCAATCTAATGGTAAGACGAATTAGATCTTCGAGGGTAGCTGGTTCGTCGAGGGTTGCAAGCTCATCTTTAATGTGCTCATTTAAAGCCATGAAATAGGCTCCCTTCAGAGCGCTTTGGTTCCATCCGGAAGCTGCCGCTTTAACCCGGAAGTTGATGGAGAATTCAGCCACAGAAGAATTTCCCTGTTTTAGATTGAAAAGAGCTCGAGAGTCAATGGTTTGATCTGTCTCTTGGTTGAATACCTGAGTAAATTCAGAGAGGAAATCAGAGTAATAGCAGTTAAGGCTATCGTCGGTGGCAAATCTTGCCTGAGCCCACTCCAAGGCTCTTCCTGTTAGCTGAGAGAGGATGAAGGTTATTTTTTTGTAATCCGTGGAAAAGCTGCCTGGGGAGTTCTGAAAAATCAGACGACACTGAAATAAAAATCCTTTGCAATCTTTCATGTTACCAGAAAATCTTTCTGGAAGACTTGGGTGGAACTCTGATGACGTCACTGCTGGTGACCTCGGAGGTGGAACTGGACCCGGAAATGGTTGTGGTGCTGGTGCAGCATTAGCGCTGTTCAAATAGTTAGCACAGCTCTGTAGCATATGGTTATGAGTATCAACCAGGCGGTATAACTCACGGAGCGCTTGGGTTTGTCCTTGAATTTGGGCATCCTGCTCCTCAAATCGGCGGGTGAGGTGATCTGCTGGGCCTTGAGTTTGGCCGCAGTGTTCTGTCATGATGGGTTCACTAATAGCGACCCAAGTATGCAGAACACCACTGACGGACACAGGGATAAAAGTTCAACAAGTTTATTTTGATACAAGCACACTGAAAGTACTGGTTCTAGTTTGGGCCTGGACACTGGTTCACCGGAGTCTGCGTGAGAGACAGTTCAGTTAGCGTTGCAAGCAGGAGCTTGATTTCTAGATGATAACTGATTGTACCTTGAGGGTTCTTGAGGTTAGCTTTGGGAGAGTCACTGTTGGATCTGGAGAGGAGTTGATTAGCAGAGTCCGCTTGCTGCTTCAGCGTCTCACGTCTAATAATGAACAGACCTTGGCTTAGGATTTTCCAGCTCTTAGTCCTGAGCTGCATGGAAGTTCTCTAGGGTTCTTCGGGTTTGGCTCAGAGGGTCGGCTCGGCAGGTTAGCTCTTCCTGAGCTTCACAGAGGAGACACTGGTTTCCTGGAAGACAGAGACAACGGTTAGAATCCTGGCTGGATTCAAAGTCACAAAGTAACACTGAGAGTCTAGGCTTAGGCGCTGACCAACTGGATCAACACTGCGGCGTTGAGGCAAAGTCTGAAGACAGCTTATATAGTGGATCCTCTGATGATCTTGATGGGCTGCAGCTGTGCAGGAGGCTCACTCAGAAGGATCCACGGCGGACTCTGCTGGAGAAAGGTAGAACTTCTCCAGCTCCCAACAAGTTGCATCACAGCTTTGCACAGACTGTTCTAAGGGACATCTAGGAAAGCCCTAGTGGGACTCTTTCAGGCATTGAAGAAAAGGATTTCTACTGGCCTTTCTTAGTTGGTATCACATACGTATGTTACACTAAATATAAACAATCATTAATCACACTATTCCTTTTGTTTTATTACTTCTGTCTGGCTTATCTATTGTGTTGCCTTGTTTATGTTGCTCTATACAGGTACTGCATTTATTTCTGTTTCTTGATGTAGATTTGAGGGGTTACCAAGTATTTTGTAATGTCTGTTTCCAGGGCAGAGCAGGAGACCTAAAAAGCTTTATTTAGACAAGTTGAATATATATTGTACTCCATGCATACGTGTGCTTTGATTGATTTTCTATGGTAATTGAACAACAATTATTTGAGGTTTTTTTTGTAGGAGGAGCTTCCAGAATCAAGCCTGGAGAAGTTGTTCACAAGCTTGGGTTGTGCACTAATCCTCTATAACCAGTGGCCTAACGCTGTCTTGCATTTTGTTTATAGGATTATAGGACTTTTTCAAGCTCAATTTTGCTTTAGATTATTAAAAATTCTCTTCTTACAATGCGCTTTCACTTGCATGGAGAATAAAAACAGAAACAGGTGAGGCATCATTTGGTGTCCTCTTTCTGATGCTTTGCCTCCTCTTTTATAAATGTTTTGTTTTTTGTTTTTTTAAAGCTACAGTGTGTAATAATTACAGGGATATACAGTCAGAAATGTAATATATTATACATAACTATGTTATTTTATCATCATCTACGAGCTCAGCCTCTTAACCTTAATATTTGCATTGCCTTAGAATTCGTTATTTATAATTACATAGGAGCGGGTCTCGCAGCCATGGAGGCAGACATCTTTGCGCTACGGCAGCGCAGAGCCAACAAACTAGTGATTGCGAGATCGCCAAAATGTCACAACGATGTAGAAAAAATAACGGGTATATTTATTATCTTAAGTGTACATGAAATCTATACCCTACACAGACTAATGAAATACTATCTGTAAAATTAACTATGTAAACAGACCTCATCAGGTGAGGTAGGTGATGCGGAAGTCGTGGAAGACATTTTGTCCCGTAAAGCTCGCCGTACTGTTGGGGGGGGAGAAGTGGTGGGGGGGGAGATGTTCATGTTGCTGCAGTCTGCAGTCTGACCGCTAGATGTCGCTAAAAGTTACACACTGTAGCTTTAAGTGGGTCTTCCTTTAGCCATTTTACATGCTACTAGAAGCAAAAACAGGTAAAACCATAATCTATCTTTTTTTAACATCCTTTTTAAACTATCCTTTTTTATCAAGATAATATGTAGACCAAGTGTGGTCTACATATTACATAAAATGTGCTGCAAACACAAAGTTTAATCCATAAATCTCGTAAAAGCAGCACCACCATCTACAAAGTTCATCTCCCCCTATTTCTGTGGTGCACAAGTTTGTGTTCACTATTTTTATCTATTAGGCACCATAAAATAAGCTACAGAATACTAAATGTAATCAATCCATATTTCAGAAAAGAAGAAAAAATTAAATTTAATTTTTGTGCAAAACTATTATGACTGATATACAGTTCAGTAATTTTATTTATGGATTCATTGATTTTTTTTTTTATGTGGTAACAAAAAATGGCACTAAGATTATTTGGTGGAATTCATAAAAAGCACTAACACAAGAGTAATCAGGCAGAGGGGTTGCACCATGACATTAGGATGCAGGGAGTCTCATGCTGGGATAGGCAACAAAGTCTGTGAGGCTTTACCTGATTCTGAGTCTGTGCTGGAGAAATGGTAAATCTAAAGGCTTTTTTTTCTCTCCTAACAAAAAAAAAAAAAAAAAAAACAATATCAAGAAGGGCTGTTAAAGTTTTCTTTTTTTTTGCACTATAGAAGCGCCTTAATCCTGCAAAGGGGCGGTTGGTGGTCTGTGGCCATGGGACCATTGAGGGGGACGGAGTTTTCTGCATCCTGAGTGACGATCATGGAGAAAACTGGTACAATGGAGCAGCCCTGAAGAGCATCCCTTATAACCAACCGAAAAGAGCTCAGGACTTCAACCCCGATGAGTGCCAGGTTGGTTTGTACGCTGCGGTTTCTAAGATATGTACAGATGGGGACTCTGAGGATCCCTCTGTCAATGTCAACATAGTATTTCTGTTTCTGTGTTTTATTTTAAAAGAGGACAAAAGGAAACTTTTTTCAGTTCACAGAAACTTACACACCCTGCTGGTGACCATTTTTAATTTCCTTACTGAGCTCTTGGTGGGTCCAAGGTGCCTCTTTGTAACCTGGCATTCGCCAGATTGTTATGTGTATAACTGAGTTGAGTTCTACGTTATCAATTTGGGATGGCTGCCATTCAGTCTGTCCATGAAAAGGAGGGACGTTTAGTACAATACTTTGACGTGCCAGCTAGTAACCTCCTTACATAATACACTTTCAGCCAATCGTTGCAGCGTAAATAAATCAAAGATTTTCAAAATCCTGTCGGAAGTATACTACAGACATCTTTCCCATCTTCAAATGCACTAAGTGCTTCTCTTTGCTCCTTTTTTAAATGAGAAAATGCCCAGGCCCTTCTGACTCGTTATTCCTACATGTCCCGCCCCATGATTCCTGCTAAACCTTTAAGATCAGATTACTGAAGTTGACTGACTCGGCTATTTCTAAAACTTACGGCGTCCAGTTAATGGTTGTCGCCTTGGATACCTGGAACCGTGAGGAACCTTCCCAGGGGGCCCAGACACCCAAAACTACTGAAAGATTCAATTCTTTGGGAATCTGGACAACGTTCTGCATTTTTTTGAATAATGAATTCTTCTCTCTAGCAGCAAATCCTGAAGGTTAATGTCAACCCATCAATGTATGACCTTAAACTCTGTCAATCCAGAACAAGTAAGCCTACCTCTGAAAACGTCAGTGACCACAAATGCTTGATGGCAGTTCTGGTAGCTTTTTTTCCCATTCAAATAAATGAAATGGTCAACAGTGTTTTGTATTTGCTCATGTTATCTTTGTCTGATATTGAAATTGAATACCTTTAACATCACTGTGTGGGAAAAAGATAGAACCGGTTGAAAACAATGCCCTGATGATTTGCCACTCTTAAGTGACACGAACGTTATCAGCAAACATAAGAAGCTCTTAAACCCTTCATAGGTTCAAAGTCTAATTTTGTATCTTTGAAGATTTGATGACACAAATTTGTATCTGGTAAGGAGAAAAAATACGCCATGGTGTGGTGTTTAGGATAAATACATTGCTGCTGAGGAACTCGATTATTATTTTCTTTTCTTGTGTGCAAGCATTTCGTTGCCTCACAAAATGAATAATTTTAACTTAATTTTGATTTTAAAGTATGAACATTGTTTTTTTTTTCAGTTAGTTACAGAGGTGTCCACCATTCCTGGAGCATTTAGTTTCATTTCTATATCATGTTTATTTAAAGCTACAGTGTGTAATAATTACAGGCATATAAAGTCAGAAATTTAATATATTATACATAACTATGTTATTTATCATCACCTATGAGCTCAGCCTTTTAACCATAATATTTGCGTTGCCTTAGAATTCGTTATTTATAATTACATAGGAGCGGGTCTCGCAGCCATGGAGGCTGACATCTTTGCGCTACGGCAAGCGCAGAGGCAACAAACTAGCGATTGCGAGATCTCCCATGACGCTCAAAAATAACTACGGCAAGTTGAGAGAGATTAACTGAGGCGGTACTGAACAGTAGATGGCAGTATTATGCCTGAGAAGCGTTTAGTCTGCCTGAAACCAAAGAAGAAGAAGAAGCAGGTATACTGCGCCTCAGTAACAAGAAAGGTGAACAAGGCGGCAGGCGTGAGTGACTTTGCAAACTGTTTGGCACTGTGTGGCCAAACATCAGACGAATGGAGGATCATGCCTACTCTGTATCACAACGAAAAGCGGCGGGCACCGAACCCCCGTCATCTAAGAAGCGGAAACACGACGAGAATAAACGCAAGCGTGACAAGAAACGGCAAAAAACACGGATCAACATTGGCACGGCATTTACACGATGGAAGTCACTGATGGAGGAAAAAGGTTTTCAAAGTGACGCTCAAGTTGCCAGTTTTCTCTTGGACAGGTAATTAATCCTACACACACAATTGTCTAATATCACTGCAGTTTTTGGAGTACAGGATGCTCAGACCTGTCTAAAACAATAACATGCTGCGTGATGATGCTGTTACTCTCCAGTATACTTATTCAGCAACGTCCCTGACGTTTCACAGGTAATGATTCAGTAATTTTCTGTAAAATAATTTTCTGGATATATACCTCGGTTACTTCTCTCCGGCTCCTTTGGAGATCTTCAAGCCTTTCCTCCTCTGCTCTCACCCCGCTGGCTCCCCTCTCTCGCCTGGCCCTAGCTGCACGGCCTCCCTGCCTTCGCCCTCGTCCTCTCCCTCTCCCTCGCGTTGTAACCCCCGTGCCACCAAAATGACTTGGACTCTGTAAACGGGGGATATATATTCTTCCAGCGAACACAATCTCGCTGTTAAACTAATGACTACAATTACTTCGTCTGTTTATATCACCATGCAAAGCAGCTCACCAAGACGTCACAACGATGTAGAAAAAATAACGGGTATATTTATTATCTTAAGTCTACATGAAATCTATACCCTACTCAGACTAATGAAATACTATCTGTAAAATTATCTATGTAAACAAACCTCATCACTTGAGAGGGTAGGTGATGTGGACGTCGTAGAAGAAATTTTGTCCCGTAACGCTCGCCGTACTGTTGGGGGGGAGAAGCGGTGGGGGGGAGATGTTCATGTTGCTGCGGTCTGTAGTCTGACCGCTAGATGTCGCTGAAAATTACACACTGTAGCTTTAATAAATATAGGTACAACCGAGAGAGGTGTTGAACTATGGTAATTTTTGGATCTACTGCCCCCTGCTGGCTGCATGTGTCAACATTTTGAGTTTTACTCAATTTAGCAAGAAAAGAGTTTGGAAAATGAAAATGTTTTCATGACATGCATTCATTTTAAGCCTGACTCCTCTTCTGTTTTCCTGCAGCCTGTTGAGATGACAGATGGCAGCATCATGATCAACGTCCGGAACCAAAACAACTACCATTGCCATTGCCGCATTGTGGTGCGCAGTTTGGACGGAGGCTTGACCCTCCCAGTGGATGAACTGTTTTTCGACTACAACCTGATTGATCCTGTAGTTGCAGCAGGAGCTCTGCAGAAAGATGGAGTGCTCTACTTCACCAACCCTTCCAATGACCAAAAGAGTAAGAAAAAAAATCAAAAATTTGCTTTTGCAGTTGGTGTAAAGTTAACCAATAATGCTTAGACTGGAACAAAACTGAAGGTAATAAGCAAACTAACCTATTGTTCTCTCATCAGGAGTTAATCTGACGCTACGATGGTCGCTAACAGATGGAAAATCCTGGGAGGAAAAAGCCATTCAGATCTGGCCAGGGCCCAGTGGCTACTCCTGCATTACGACTCTGAATAGCGGATCTGTTGAAGACCAGAAGTACATCTACGTCATTTATGAGAAAGGCCACAAGAACACAGTTGAGACCATCTCGTTTGTTAAGCTCCACCTGTATGGCGGCCGGTAGGACATGTTGGTCGAAGGTAAGAGGAAACAGCTCCAAATAAATTAATATGTTTTTTTATAAAATCTGACTTTTTTTTTAAATTTGTTTTATTCCCAGATCCAAACCTTAAAGGGAAAAGGGACCAGATGATTTTGAGGTGCAGAAGCTACTCAGGAAAACAGCACACTTAAAAAAGATGCTGGAAAACTTGGTTCTTAACTGTGAATTTCCAGCAGTTCAATGTGTTTTTCCTTCATTTTTCTTTTTATGATTTTTCTTTTTTTCTTTCTTTTTTTACATTTGTCACAGCAGGAAAATTAGATTTTTATCCTGTTCTGCCAAATTTGAAAAGCCTTAATTTGTATTTTAAGTGACAGAATCCGGCAAGCAGCGAACGCTGGGCAATAAAAATAAAAGAAAGGTTCACATATTTTTTTTTTACCCTAGCAATATACTTTTATTCTGTATACATGCTGCTGAATTTACAGTTAAACGTGTTTGATAGACTAACCTCTTCAAAATGCAGATTTTTACAGATGGAGAAATTTTATACATTTCTTAAGTTAGCATTAAGCCTGTGGCTCATAGATAAAAGCTGTGTTTGTTCTTGAAGATACATTAGGATGCGGAAACTTCATCAGCCAATGCAATGAGGTAGAACTTCATAATCATGTAGCTTTTTATAGAAAATGAAGAATTTTGCAAAGAGGATACTTATGTTAACAGATATTTAGGTCACTTAAGATAATAAACCCAAAGTGATTTTAATGGGGTAAAAAAAGAGAGTGTCTTTACCAGCAGTGTGACCTAATTTATGGAAATTTATGTCAAATGTTAAGACAGTCAGGGTAAAAAACAGCTTTGCTACAAGAAGAAAGTAAGAAATTATTGAGACATGATCCTGAACCTTCAAACCTGAATCCAACCCATACTCAAATTTATATTTGAAATATTTGAGATTAACTATATCTGATTTTATATTTTGTTTTTAATTTAATTGAATAAAATAATATCCCTGCCATGTGATGAGGCACTTAAATATCTTTCACTGAGATTAGCTGATTTGAAAGAAAAACATACAAATTTTACTTTTCTTGTTAGAGAGACTGAATGCAACACACCATCAATATGGCCGTCATATGGTTTGAGTCCAGGCTCCACTTGGATTTGTAATGGTTAGTCAGATGCCCCAGCATGTATTTTAAACTGTATAAAAACAATGGAAAACCCAACATCTGCCAATTCCTTAATGTTTTTTCATCACAAGACACTTTAAAATATTATTGTCTGTTCTCATGTGTTGTTAGTTGTTTTATCAGACATTGTTTATTTTTCTTTTTAACCAAACCTATCAGATATTTTTTCCTCTTGAGGCATCTGATTTCTAAATCTAAGTTCCCATGATTTAATTATTTAAGGGGTCTCTGTAAAATGAATAAAATAAGTTAACTGATTATTTGTTTTGTTTATTTATGGAAGTGATTTAATCTAGAGACCTGGGCGGCTTTCTTGTCCTTATAATTAATCTTTTGTCATAAATTCCTGTGCAAATAAATATAAAATGCTTTTGTCATGGCTAGGGTATTGTTAGTTAGTAATCTTAAGAGACAACCGCCTTTTTAAAAAAAGGGTTTCTACATAACATATTTTTGCATGGCTAAAACATGTAGATTGTTCAACATTTTTAGATTTTATCCTTATGTATGTCTTTGTTGACAAAATGTATTTAAAGCATTATGTAACTACTAATGTACAGTTAAACCAGATATGTAGGTAGGCTATATAAGAAAGGCACATTACTTTTTATTTCTCTCACAGTTATAAGGACATCCTGGCTTTTTAGGTTTCTGACTGATTCATTACAGTTGAGTAAAAGGAAACATACATATATGTTGAGGTGATATATAAAACACTTCTTTTATGTGGCACCATAGGAAAATTTAGGGGAAAGGATCGCGAAGAAAATCTTTTGATTTCAAAATAGTCTGATTAATCCTTTGATAAAATCTCTAGAACCCTGAAGTGGACATTTTCATATGAAAATATAAACGGCATTGGGAATGTCCAGCCATCTTGGATTTATGAGGATCTGGCAACAAAGAGGCTAATTGGGGGCATCGGGAGTGAACCGCAGTATCAGGCAGTTACCTAAACATCCAACAGTCACAAAAGAGATGGCATAAATAAAGTATGCTGATTGCATAAGTGTGTGAGGACCAAGGTGTTCATTACTAAGTTGTGTGACTAGTAAAACTTTATATAAATCAATTCCATTCGAGGAAATAAATGAAACAGATGATGAATAAATGAATGATTACAGCAACAATTTGCAGCTATGCACCAGTAGGAAAAAGAGGGACTTTTCGACAGTCAGTAAAATAATTACTTTTTTGACAGCGTTGCTAGATTAGATGGAGAGTGCCCTTATTGGCTTGAGGAATACAGATAGCATAGCGGCCAAACCTTTATGGTTTGGCCATAAAGTACATAAAAAACACTCATTCGATACAGAAAGAGTGTATTTCAGTGAAGCCCAGGTGTTCCATGTGAAAAGAAAAACTCAGATAAGCATTTTACTGAAAAGAGATTGATATATTTCAGCGTTTGTGATCATTTTGATTAATGACTTTTAGCAATTGAAAAACTTAATTAGTTTTCCTAGATGTTAAAATATTTTTTGAGATCAATAAATAAATACTTTTTACACAGAAATGTTATGTTAATATCCACAGAGTCCAGAGACAACCTGCTGTCAGGGGCATTTTAAAGCAGAAAGTCGCTGATGGGCTACAGGGAATAACAAAAAAATATATATTGCTGATGAGGAATGCTGTTCAGAAGTGATTTTAAGCAACCATGTTAACAAAAAGTTGAGGGAAGGAAAATATGTAAAACTGCATATTAAACTATAATACTCATTTATTTTGGATATCAAGCTCCAAGAGGAAGGTAACAGATTAAAAATGAACTCAGGTAATATATGAAATGTCCACCATTGGTTATGGTTTGGGTTGTGGTGTCATCTTCTGGAGTTGGTCCAATTTATTTAATAAATTCAAAAGTGTTTTCAACCATCTAACAGGATATCTACCAGAAAATGTTTCTGTTTTCTTCTGCTGACATGTTCTGCAGAGATGCAAGGGATTTTTGGGCAAGTGTTAACAGTGCACAAATGTTGTGCACTGTAAGGCTGCAAAATCCCTGGTTAGAAACAAACTGCAATTCTGTGTCCTGAAAAAAAAAAAATGTAATGAATTACCTATGGGATGGGTTAAATGCAGAGGACATGGGCTGTTGAAATATACAGCTGCAATAAATATAATTTTCTTTACTGGATTTTTGCATTTATATATTGGCTGGTGCCCATATGGATACCTGCTTTGATAATCACTTTGACTTAAATCTCACAAAGCTTAGCTTATACAGCATTTGTACAAGGAACAAGGGAACAAACAATGGAAATAAGTTGTTTTGTTTATGGCAACCTTCTTTCCATAGGTTTTTTCCCTCGTCCCATGCTGTACTGGTGCATTCATTCATGCAAAAGGAGAACCAAATACTGTGAATAAACACATTTTTATTTAGGTATGCATTTCTGTATTATTCAGTATGTATTATATTTTGCCCTATGATGTATATTTAAAGAGAAATTCAAACATTACGTGATAAAATGCTATAAATAAAATACGTGCTTGGGTTGAATATAGCCCCAATTCACAACGCATGTCATCTCAAGGCACTTTACAGTTCACCAGATCATACAGTCAAATTGATTCAAAGTTTTCTATCTAAGAAAAACCAGTTGATTGCATCGACTCATTGACTTGCATGCTTGTAGTGACAGTGGAGAGGAAAAACTCTCTTTTAACAGGAAGAAACCTCCAGCAGAACCAGGCTCAGTGTGAGTGGCCATCTGTCGAGGCCAACTGGGGTTCAAGGAGACAGAAGCATAGATACAAAAAGAAGCAGACATTCAAAGGCAACTGTAAACCAGCTCCACCAGTGACATTGAATATTTTGAATGTCAGATGCTTTGGTAACTGCCTGTTCTAAATGTTGTAGCGTCACCTATGTTGTCTTTTGCAAAATAAAGAAGCGTTTATATAAATGTGTTTTATTATCATTTTTTAAATCAAAACATGTTCATGTTTTATATATAATACATTTTTATAATTCAACAGGGTACATTTTTAATATAATCTAAATGTGATTATATCCACCAAGACGTGATAAATACCAGGTGCCATAGTTATAAAATATTGTATATTCTTAAATTAAGAGCTTCTGTCTTATTTTTTTTTTTTTTTTCATTAATATTTGTCGCATTTTTTTCGTTTTTGTTGAGATCCCAAACGGCTCCCATCTCACGAAATCTCCCCCAGTAGCCGTTGACGGCTCTTTAGGTGACGGATTGAGTCCAGATTCAACAATTTTCTTTTCCCGTTTTCATTATTTTCTAAGGGGAAAAAACGGAAAACTAAAGTAAGCCGAACACCTCTTGTCACCTTTAACAGCATCGGTCTGATCAAAGTTGGAGGCAGTTGTTCCAAAGTGGTTTTCTTTTTGTGTGTCTCTGCGTGTCTTTGCAGGAGGTTAGAAAGCTACACCGTAGCAGCGGAGCTAAGCTGATTCTGCGATACAACCTCGAGACAAGTCGGGACAAGACCAGGTCAGTGGATGGACATTTTACCTCACTATTAACCCTTCTGACACACTAAGCTGGACCTAATCACGTCCCCGTTTTCCTCGAAGCTTAGATAAAGGGATGTTCTTTTTAGTAGCAGTAGTATATTTGTGTCTTAATTGTTGTTGTTAGCCAACAGTCATGTAGCATAGCTTGGGTTTGGATTTGAAATAGACTTTAGTGTTCAGGCGGTAGATATTTTTGCTGGTTTTATTTAAAATATCATCGGTTCAAGATGATATCTGTTGTATAGTTTTGAGTTTTTGGAATTTAAACTGTACATCTAATGTTACCGATAAACGTTAGCTTGCCTTGATGCTACTGTTAGCTTCAGCTAGCACACCTGTGTATTGCTTTAAATCACGCTACCGCCAGCCGAATTACGCGTTTTCCCCTTACTATTAACGAATTGCTTGTATCCCTAAGTTGTTTATATATTAAAATTAGTTTGTGTTGTGTTTTCATGGGTAGTTTTTGAACGTCCTGCGTTATGGCTCTAGGCCGCTCTCCTCCGCCATTTTGTTTCGTCAGATAATAAAACCGTTTGTTCTGCTTCATCGCTCATGCCATCTGGGGATGAGCACGGTGAACGTGTCCAGGTGAATGTTTCTGTTCGTGAATCAAGCTTATCGTATTCGAAGAGTATGCAACGATTCCAGGCTTTATTTGTTGAAAGTGAATTATGAAACAACGCAGCTCCCCTCCTCCCCAAAGAGAACAAATAGGAGGCCTGTGTGTGTCGGCAGCTAACCTTAATTAGCTCCACGGTAGATTTTTTTTTCACCCATTCTGTATCAACTCCTGTCATAGATGGCTGCAGGTGGAAGTGTTGTAACTATCAACTGATTTATTTACTCCCCAGAGATCGTTACCACCCATGGTTGACAGAAGGTTAGCGTGGCCTCTTTGCAGTCCCTGGTTAATCCTCGTACAACACGTAGTTCACCAGCCATCCCACGACCTAATTTTCTAATCTCATCTATTGAGGGACGCTGTAGTGCTACTGCTCTATGATCACAATGTAGAATAATTTATCTTGTGGTCATTTTATCGCGACTCTACCTTTTTCACGATATTGTCTAGTTTCAGGGTCCAGGAGATCACACTTAAAGGCACCAGATATGACATTTTCCCAGAATCTGATATTGAAAAATTATATATTTACTTGATCATTAAATGCATCAAAATTGAAAATGTAAACTTTTTTCAGTCACTAAGCACATCAACAAACTGCTTAAACTTTCTATTAAGCAGGTAAAATGAAATAAAAGATTAGCAACATCTTACTTTATTTAAGAGATTAGTATATATATACTTTTAATGACTGCATTTTATGTTTCATTCATGCGCAACTACAGTTCCTCAGACTCTGTACAGCAAATGGTTTTCTTTCATTGACTGATTTCTAGTTTGTTGAATTGAATTTAATTTTGACTAAATTTATCCAACTGAATTAATGTATTGTATAGACATTTTAGTTAGTCATACCTTAGGTCTGAGTCAGTAATGGTCTCAGATAGAGATGGGTACTGTAGAGTTATTAATTTGGGGATAGGTACCCTAAACGCAAAAAAAAAACAAAAGAAACTCATAATTTTTCCTTCAAATAATAAAACCACACAGCCCTATTTTTTACTTCAAAAAATCGTCTTGGAATAAACAAACAAACAAAAAAACACTTAATCTTTATCTGCCATGGGGTATGAATAATTATAAGCTTAGTTATGTTTCATTGTTTCTTTTTATTCATAAGTCTTTTGATGTTTAAATTTTTTGAAGTACTATTTTTGATTTCTTTAAACATGGCTCCTCTTTGAAGGCACATTATAAAGATACAGTAAGAGTGTATTAAGAATTGCATGCTCAAAGTATTTATATTTAATGGAGTTTAGATCAGCAGTTAAAGCCATAGGGAGCTAAATCAGACTGAAGTGGACAGATGTCTCTGTGATGTGTATTATTGATGATCTTCACCAAATGTTCATATAAAAGAACTGCTGGCTGTAGTGAACCGATCTCAAGGCTAGGTGAAAAATAATTTTAAAATGCGTTGCCATGGAAACATGGATTCTGCCTTATGGTTTCTTATGACCATTACCGATGATGAACGATGTGCTGTGTGCTTCCAGTATGTGTATTTTACCATACTTCTGAAATTGACCCACAGGAAATTAGTGCGCCGATTATGTCTTGAATGTTAATACATATTAGTACTTTGGTCAAAGGATTTGGCAGTTGTTTTCAAGGCTTTTAGGATTTTCTTGTCATACCATCTAGGGCTGGGATTTTTTATTTTTATTTTTTTCTTACCAAATCCAATTAATTGCTTGTTTTTTTTCTTCTGACATTTCATTATAAAGATGACAGATGACATACATTATTTTTAAAGACTAGCTTTAATTTTAATGATCCCCTCTGGGAGATAACCTTATTTTAAAGGGTGACAGTTAAGCTGTGAAAATGTTTCATAAAACAATTAAAAGTATAACAAACTAAACCTTTGTAGCTAGGGTGTTGCACAGTTAGTTTATTGGGTATAAGTACACATCTAAGAGCAAAAAGTAATGAACTTATGTTACCCTGGGCTGTGGAAACCCCTGAAGTGCATTGGTGAAACATTGATACAGAGGTTATTTTTTCTGCACCAATACACAGGTTGTTCAATCAGTACAGTAATTTCTCCCTTTGAAACATCTTATTTTTGATAATAATATGCAGTTAATATGTTTAACTGTTATAATGTTATATAAAGTTCAGATTGTTTGAGGCTGCAACAATCTGGTTGGTTTAGTGTCACAAAGTGTCCTTTCCCTAAAGTTAAGCAGGGGAAAGTTGTGTGATTGGAAATGGGTCGGATTTAAAGAGTTTATGAAATTTGATTTCTTAGATTATTATATTGCATCAGACTCTCTGAAAAAAGGACGGTAGACCTGATGAAAAGTGTTTATAATACTGGCTTGGAGATTTAACCTATCATTTAATTTTGTCATGAAACCTTACCATGATGACGATAAATTCCAGCTAATCATGTTTAAAACTCTTAAAAATTGATAGTCTACTCTGCTCAACTGCTATGCTATTGTCACTATTTTCTCAGCTGTTAGTTTTAAGAGAGTATCAGTAACTTCCAATAAATAAGAAACTGAATAAATGCAGGTTTTGTGTGCAGCATGGTGATAAAAATTCCACTTCTTTATAAAAAGGGAATTTCAAAGTATATTTTATACATTGTAATTTATCTTTTTTTACTATATTAATCATGTATTCTATATTTTGTATAATACATTTATAAAGTCGACAGACCTCAAACAAAATAAATCTTTTATAGCATAATTTTCGCATCTGCCCTTTCTATGTCTTGTACACTTTCACTATCAACTTCCGAGCATTCCTGGCATCATATCACTCAGTATCTATTCCTCCCTTTCCCACAGTCTCAGGGCTCACCATACTCAATGAGCGGACAGCGCAATGTCAGAGCGCTCTGGGCAAACAGCAAAGGGGAAGGAAGGCAAAACCAAGTATGCGTCTCTCAACTTGTTTGATACATACAAAGGAAAGAGCCTTGAAACACAAAAGCCTGTTGGTGAGTAATTTTTCCTGTCATGTTTAGAAAAAAAAATGAGTTTTTGATGTGAGAGACAATGTCAATTGATGTATTTCAGTTCTATCTGTGTTTCTTTTTTTTCCTGATCTATTATGTGGACTTTAAGTGAAGAATTCTGCTCATTCAGGCTTCAATTCTGTGTTGTCTCATGCACCTCTAAAACATGCGTTCCTTCATCCGGCGAATACATAGTATGGGGGAAAAAAACAAAACTACTTTGAGTTTGTACACATAGAGCTTGATAGAAATAAATTACCAAACAAGTGGAATAATTTGTGTCTGCTAGACATTGATCCATTGAGTCTGTTCTGAATTAGAGGTTGACTTGTGGATGCTGGTGGAATTTGTGGTTATCTCCCAGCTTATATTTTATTCAGAGGCTTTCCTTTACAATCCAAACAGACTTCATCATTCACTAAGCTGCATACTTCCCTTCCAGGAACACACACAATGCTCTTGTTTTATTACGGTTTCTAAATATAAAAAAATTATGTCGTAAGGGTTGTTATATTAAAGCTTATTAAGCTTGTGACCTTAGTTCTTTCTCTGATTTGCATTTACTTTAGAGCTAGCAGAAAACCTGATCTGCCCAGTCCTCACACCCTGTAGATACTGTAGGTGTCATGTTTCACTGGTCCATCTGTGCTAATGGATATCTTTCCCCATGCCAGTTCCCCCCCGCCATGGCCTGCAGTCTCTTGGTAAAGTTGCCTCCGCGCGGCGTATGCCACCACCTGCCAACCTGCCCAGTCTGAAGGCGGAGAACAAAGGCAACGACCCCAACGTCTCGCTCGTTCCCAAAGACGGCACAGGATGGGCAAGCAAACAGGAACCAGCAGACCCAAAGAGGTAATTTCCATTTGTTGAATGGAGAAAAAAAAAAAGTTTTAAGCGGTTGTCTGGTGTTTGTTAGGTTCAGGTGTGACTTGTTTGCATCTTGTGTTTTCAGTACCGATGCATTGTCAGCACCGCAGCCGGAATCGCAGCAGCCTGTGGCTTCACAGATACCTGCACCGACCCGCCCGAGAACCCCACCAGTTTCAGAGGTAGAAAACGTGTACTGCTATAGAAATCCAAATAGGGCTTGGTGTGAAAAAGACATACATGTTTGACATGATATTTGCTTTTCTCCAGGCTCTGGCCCCACCTTCAACACAGGCCGTAGGGGCAAGGTCCTGGGCACAGGCCAGCGTTACACATGGAACACAAGGGGATGGTGAGTCTAACTTTTAATATTTCCTTTTTCCTGTATGTTGTTGTTGCTATTAAGTGCCTATCCTCAACTTCTTTGCAGGTGGAAAGGGATCAAACCTACCGTCGCCATTCTCTCGCGAGGAATTTCCCACCCTGCAGTCGGCTGGCGACCCGGACAAAGCTGGCAAAGAACAGGCCACTGCAGATCAGTGGTATGGGCCCGGACCAAGCCTCCGCCCCCAGAGTACGCAAATAGCTTATGGTTTCATTTTATCCCATCGAGATACAGAATGTTTTTACATTAAATGAATGCTTTGTAATTTATTTTATTGAACTTTTTGCTGTTTTTAGACGTTACAAGTTGGCGGGACGGTGGGGGCCGAGCCTTGGCGCCCACCCTGCCTGGGGAGGGGGCGGCAGAGGGGGGCACAGGTGGGGCTCTGGTAATGGATGGGGCAGTTGGTGTCCCCCCTACAAATTCCCAGATGCAAGGGCCACCTAGGAATCCCCCTGCAGGCAGCCCCGCCTTGCCCCTGCCCCAGCCCGCCGTGGGGCCGGGGTTTGCCCAATATAGAGGGATCATGCCACCCTTCGTAAGTTTTTATTTTCCATTTACATAACTTCATATGGGAATAAAAAAACAAACGTTAACCACCGTTTCATTTTGTGACCCTTAGATGTATCCCCCCTATCTCCCGTTCCCGGGCCCCTATGGGCCTCAGGGGCCCTACAGGTACCCGCCACCTGGGGAAGGGCCACCTCCGAGGTGTGTGTCAAATAATATCTTAATTTTTATTTTATTTTTTCTGACAGATTCTTTTTTAATTTTTATTTTTTCCAGAAACTGTACAGTTCTTCCAATATAACTGCAGTTTTTGGCCTCCGTTCTCTTTTCTTAGTATTTTATTCTTAACAAAGAACTTTTCTTTCAGGTTCTCTCGTGTACAGGGCGGTCCTGACAACAGGCCACATGGTGGCCCTCGTGATTCAGGGGAAGTAGTTAAACGTCCCTCCATCCTAAAGCAGGATGACCTGAAGGAGCTGGATGAGCTGGATCATGATGGAGATGATGGATGGGCAGGTACAGAAAAAATATTTGCAAATCCACAGAAAGAAAGATGTAAAGATACAGGCTATGTGATGCTACTGAGTATGTTGTATTTATCTCAAAATAGAGTGCTCTTTATTAAGAGCCTTATCACTGATGTTTATTAAAATCTGGTATATTTTCCTTGAGTGCCCAGTAACAGTGAAAATCAAAAGTAGTTTGGATCAGATTTAGAGCCGCTTTCTTTTTAGGAGAAGCTGGTTTTATAGTAAAAGTGAATGAGTCTGATGCTTTGTAACGTAGCATATGTTGAGAATATCACATTTCCTGCTTATTGAAGCAGTGTGGTTCACGCGGCTAACAATCACTCTGCAAAAATGGGGCGTCAAGGAGGGACTCGAATACATCACAGTGATAAATGCCGACCTCATATTTCACTTAGTGGATGCAAGGTTTAAACAAGACTGTGAAGCTTTTTCCTGTTTGAACAGGGCCTCATGAGGAGATTGATTACTCCGCCAAGTTGAAATTCAGTGATGATGAAGCAGATGAAGAGGGAGATGAGGACAAAAGGGAGAGCAAGAATGACTCACGGTATGTAAATAGGTTGGTTGACTATGTGATTTGTTGCCTATAATTACAACTCTGCTTTGGATATAAAATGAAAGTACATTTTATCGGTTGTGCCTTGGTTTAGTTTTTCTGTTTCACTTTTCTCCCTAGTGAGCAGCAGAGGTCCCAGGATGCTGCAAACTCTCACTCTCGAGCCTCAGATGGCGGCGGAGAAAGTCGTCACACACCTCCCTCGAATGCTGATGGCGTCCCCCAGCCCTCCTCCAGCAAGCCAGGATGTGCCGAGGAGGGAAGCAGTGGCTGGGGAAACCAAGGAGCCCCATCCAGCTATCAGGTAGTGAGTCAAACCGCTACAGTTAATGAATTTGCATGCCGTTCTAAATCTGCAACAATTGTTTTCTTTTTTTTTCTTTTCTTTTTATTGTCTTATTTTAGTGTAAATGTACATATTGGCAAAACATTTATAGTGTTTGGTATGTCCCTTGAAATAAACATGGGTACGATAAGATGGAGTAACTGGATCAGAAGTTTAGGTGTGATCAATGACTCCAATCCTTATTGATCAGAAAGTATCGGCACCCCAGTCTGTCTGGATCTGTAGCACCCTGGTGCTTGTATGCTTGTGCCAGTGCAGATTAAGGCTAACCGTGTCTGCCTGTATACAGGGGCGCAGGCCTGGATTGGGTGGTGCCCGGGAGCAGCCCTCCCCCCCACCTGGGCCGCTCCTCGGACAGGGGCCGTACTCCTTTTATCGACAGGTAGACATTTGAACAGGGCCTCATAGAAAAGTCATTCCTGTCATGATCTCATCCACCGCTAGCAGATTGAATTGTTTAGTCCTTGCAGGTGCATTTCAATTAATTTAAATATCACAAGGAGGTTCAATGCTTTAATTAAAAAAAGAAATGTCCATGTGTAAATTCACGACTCACACAGTGATATAATTTAAATCTTTGAGTTGAAGCCAATGAACCCCAATATTTGGTTACTCATATAATATCATGTAACACCAATACAAATGTTGCTCAGTTTTAAATTATCCCCATGTTCTGTCTAGCATATTCCATTATTATTAATATATATTATTATTATCATACTCCTTGTGAATGAATTACAGTGAACTCTTCACAATGGACCTCATCATGCTTGGATTCTGACCCTCAGTCTGAATAGCACCAATTGTAGCTCCAAGCTTCTGTCCCTAGCTCTTTTTCTTTCACCTTTTTTGGGGTCAGTGGTAAGAACACTGGTTTTGGTAGGGTGTCCTTCCGGAAATGCCTGGTAACCAGCCGGAAAATTAATTAAGGTGTTGCTACAGAAGGGATGCATCTAAAAGTTGTGAAAGATTAGCTCACTGATTTGGCCACCCATGCTTGAAAACATCCCCCAAACTCTTGACCTGCCTTTCCTTCAAGATCTTGTCAAACTGCAGCTATCTGTTGATTACAGATCTTCTTTCACCCCACTTCCTTTCACTCAACTTTCTATTAATATGCTTGGATACAGTTGTCTGGTAACTAGCTTCGTCAATGGTGACCTTTCCTGACTTCCCAGTGCATTTGCATCCAATTACTTAACGTTCCTACTTGAAAATCCTTATTTTTAGTCATCTTTAACACCATTAGAACATTAAGAGGTATGGAAATTAGGCTAAATGTTATAATCATCAAATGTAAAAGAAATAATACTTTTATCAAATAAATATATCACTCGTTTGAAGAAACGGTTTCATGTTTTGAACTAAATAATTAAAATGATCATTTTTGAGATGCACCTGTTTTAAATCCACTCCTCTGTTCTTATGTTTTATCACTGTTTGAGATTCATTCATTGAACATTTTATCAAACATTCCAGCAGTGTCATCTTCAGGGTTGAAATCTGCATCATTACACATGAACCTTTTGTAACTCTTTAGGACCGACAACATGGTCAAGGGACAGCTCTTGGTCCGGGAAAACCTGCTGCTGCCCAGCTTCAGCCAGGAACAGGAGGACCTGCCATTTCCGGCCAGCCTAGCTTGCTGGTCCACGGAACCCAGGGGGAAGATGAGGATGAGACTTGGCGTCAGCGCAGAAAACAGTCCTCCTCTGAAATTTCTGCAGCTGTGGAGCGAGCCCGTCGCCGTCGTGAGGAGGAAGAACGTAGAATGGAGGAAGAGAGGCGTGCAGCCTGTGCAGAGAAGCTGAAGAGGCTAGATGAAAAACATCAGCAGCAAGGCAGCAGCTCAGGAGCTGGCGGCAGCAGTAAGACCCCCAGCCTGGATGGGAGCTCTGCAGCTGCTACAGCTGCTAGCCCCAGTCCATCTGTTTCAGCATCTTCCCCCAATATCAGCCAGCCAGTGTCCCCTTGTGTGGATATTGAAGAGCCTCCAGTACTAACAGCCCAGCCAGGGACAGCTTCTGGATCGAGTGACCGCCGGAGAGCCAGCAGCAACAGTAGCCATGACTCCACTGCTGGTGAGTCCCACAAAAAATGGCCCAGTCCTGCATGGTTCATCTGACGAATCTTTAATCTTTTGATTAAACAACCATTTTCATTTTTTAAATAGATGTCCAGCAGTGTCCCCAGCCTGCTGTGCCCCAGTCACAGCAGCCCTTACTGGATTTACCTCCATCAGCGGAGAGCAAGGAAGAGGCCGTAGCTAGTCCTCACGTCCGTGCAGGAGGTGGGGGGGAAAGGAGTGTAGAGGCAGTAAAGGTGGAAAACTCTATAGGGGGTACGGGCCGTCAAGCCAGTGGTCCTCCTGGCCAGGGTTACCCAAAGTACCAGAAATCTCTACCGCCTCGCTTTCAGAGGCAGCAGCAGGTCAGAACATGTCTTATATTTGTTGTCTAAATCCTCCCGCTCGCCATAGATTTTCTTTTAAAATTAGATTTTCTTTTCTTTTTTTCTCCAGGAGCAGCTTCTGAAGCAGCAACAGTGGCAACAACAGCAACACAGCCAGGCCTCACAAAGCCAGCTGTCGCCTCAGCCTCAAGGTCCTTCACCAGGTTCCACCCCTCAACCAGGCCCTGGGCCTAAGCAAGGAGCACCGCTGTATCAGCCGGGCAGCATGGTCCGACCTCCTCCGCTGCCAATAAATTTTGATCCGCGCTGGATGATGATGCCGTACATGGACCCTCGCATGATTCAAGGTCGCCCTCCTCCAATGGAATACTATTCAGCTGGCATGCACCCCTCAGGTGAGCAAATGCACGATAACAAGAAAGGTGAGTGATTATTATCATGAAACTGTTTCCTTTAAAATAATTTCCCTTTTACAGGAATTATGGGTCGTGAACGATCTGATTCAGGTGGTTCTGGTTCAGAACCTTTTGATAGACAGCAGCAACATCCAGGCCACCCTCACCGTGGGACGCCCCCTATGGATCCTAAACTGGCCTGGGGGCCAGAAGTGTTCCCTGGGGGAGCTGAGAACCGTGGGCTTACCTCTCCATTGAGACAGAAACAGGCCCTGGAGGAGGAGGATGTGGTGAAAGGACCTAGGTATGTATTTTTCATTTTGATGAACATTTGGGTTGAGTATATGTTTACTAATTCAGGGTCTTTAAGAATAAATCAAACCCCTAAACTACTCTGCAAAAAAAGGAAATCTTAAGTATGTAAATTTTTCACAAAATATGTGCATTTTTTTTCTTGAATGAGCAGGTAATTGAGACTCTTTACCAATTTGATAAGAAAATTTTAATTTAAAAAAGGGAGGAAAAAAACACAGTGGCTTATTTTAAGTGTATTATATCTAATTATCTTATTTTAAGGGTAAAAATAGATAATCTTATTTACCTACTCAAATTAAGGGCAAATGCACTTATTTTAAGAAAATTTTACTGACTTTCAGACTGTTATTAGGTTTTATCACATTACTGCCTGTCGATATGATTTTTAACTGATAAAAGCAGTAATTAATTATAAAGTGTGAGCGATTTTCGCCTTTTTTATGCAGGCAAAAATCAGTAACTAGTGGGAAGCAGTTATTTACGTTCTGAAGATAATGATTTTAATCTATGTGCCTTTAGAAAAGGTACTTAAACCCACAAACACGTTTTATAACCATATGTCATTATCAGAGCTGATGACAGCATGAAGCTGAAATGCATTTTTAGACCATTAAATTCATACGCAGTGCTGGTCATCCAGATTTACTGTAGCTATAGTTCTCATAATTATTTAGTTGCTGATACATTTTCCTTCAGTTATATAGTTCGTCACAACTTTAACTGTTTTCTTACATTTTGTTCATCTTTAACTTTAGTGACTAGTCAATTTTTAACCTTTTTGTCTCCAATTAGAAGTGACACTCCTCCACACCGCCAGAGAGAGAGTGGTTTGGGACCAGTCCAGCAGCCCGGCTCATCAACTGGGACCTCCAGTCAAACTCCTCCTCCTCCTGTTGGTGTGCAAGTTGGCAGCCAGGGAGGCACACATCCTCATCATTACATTGGAGGGAGGGGAAACTACAGCAACTTCCCTGACCAGGGTGCAAGGATTCCCCCCCACCCGCAGCAGAGGCCTGGTGAACGGGGTAACCACCCCCACAGCTTCACCCATCCAGATGATGGGTCTTCTCGAGGACCTCAGCAGGTGCAGATATGGGGAGCTCCCCATTCTCATTATGATCGTAATGGCCGTGCAGACATCCCCACTGTTGAGGGCAACTCCCATCTTCCCCACCATCACAGCCACCACCATCAGCCGCCTCAGTTCCCCCTTAACCCCCACAAACCAGATAACAGTCGTGACAGGCACAGTGAGGCTCATGGGAAGAAGACAGACTCTTCCCCACCTCTCCAGCAACCATCTCTGTCATCCTCATGCTCCTCTTCCTCCTCTGCCAGGGAGGATGGGAAAGTGGCCCAACATCACCCCCCACCTCTGAGGGAGGGTGAAGCTGCTGTTAATCCTGGTGAGAGAGGCAGCAGTGGTAACCCGAGCAACAGCCACATGAAACCAGAGAAGTCGGGCCCCACGTTTCTGTCCCATTCTAACCAAAATCCTGTCCAACATGGTGGTCAGAATCAGACTCAGCAGCATTCTCAACCTAAATCGAACCAAAGAGGAGGGCGTGAGCATAAAACTGAGACACAGTGGGGACCACGGCCTGGAAGCAACACTGTTGGTGGGGGTTCATCCCACGGCAGGAGGGGTAACAATGCAGGAGTAGGTAGCAACACTCGTGGAGGAGAGGATTGCTCCAACGCTCCATCAGACCACAAACCCTCAAACCAAACGGGAGGCAGTAACCCCCACAAGAGGGCTGGTCCAATCAAGAAGCCCCTTGTGAAGGAAATGAGGAGAGAAGGAGGGGATGTTGATGGAGGAGAAAAACAAGGAAAAGACAAAGAGCAAGATGGTGGTCAACCCACCTCCACAAAGCAGGATACATCTATATCTCACAACACCTCTAATGCAACAAAAGAAGAGCAGAACCATACACCCAAAGCCAGGAGCGGAGGAAAAGAGAGGCCCTCAGGAGGTGGAGGGCCTGGGAGAGGCTCCAAAGATGTAGACTCATCATCTTCTGGGTTTTCCTCCAGGAGGGACAGAGAACGATCCTTTGAAACAAGTGTTGGTTCACACCACCCCGGAGTACCCGCTAAGGGGGGCAGACCTAGTCGGGGACGAGGAGGAGAGTTCTATCGTGGTGGCCGTGGTTACAGGGGAACCTTCACCGCCAGTGCTGGACCTACAGGTGGAGGTCGAGGTAGAATGGGTGGTAGGAGTGGCCGCGACTTCCGTTCATCTGGTGCTGGAGGCCCGCACCAAGAAGCAAAGGGTGAGGGATCTGGAGCACGTCACGGTCCGGATCGGTCTCAGCATAACCCTGCCAGAGCAAGAAACCGCAGTGAAACACGCAGCGAGGGCTCAGAGTATGAAGAAATCCCTAAGAGACGGAGGGAACGGGGCTCTGAAACTGGCAGTGAGACAGGAGGCAGTGACCTTGGTCACTCGGATAAAGAAGAGCACCACAAATCCAACTCCAAGAACTGTTCAGAGAATGTCAGTGCCACGGGAAACATCCCTTCGGCGCAACCTAAGGTTTCTCAGGCCCGAGTTTTTACTCCCAGAGGAGTGCCCTCTAGGAGGGGCAGGGGTGGAGGAGGTGGAGGTGGAAATGTGTACAGGGGCAGTGGCAGCATTGGAGGACAAGCTGGGGGACACCGGGTCGGACACGGCTCAGGTTCTTATGCTGGGTATTCAAAGTCCACAGCTTCAGGTCGCAAACAGCAAGGTCCACCTCCATCCTCTGGACCCAAAGATCAGGGTCGAGGAGGGACTGCAGGAGAAAAGAAGGACAAGGTAGCAGATGTTGGGCAGAATCAGGGGGCCAACCCCCCTCAACCACCTTTGCCTACCACTACTCCTCCTACTGTGGGATCCACTGAGAATGGAGGAGTGACCACCCAGCAAGCTTCAACCAGTCCTGCCCCGAACTCTGGAGGCCCGAATGGCCCCCCTCTTCCTACTAACCGGGGCCACCCTCCAGGTGGGTTTGAGAGGCCCCCTAGACGCCGCCGTCATAATCGTTCTCAACACCAGCAGGACAAGCCACCCCGCTTTCGCAGACTGAAGGAGCGAGAGAATGCCGCACGCATCAACGGAGGAGTTGGGGTCATTGGTGGAGGGAGACCATCGTCTCCTTCCCTGAATTCAGTCCAGGACAGTAACGGGGCTCCAGTTCCTGCCGCTATCACGGGAAATGGCCAGAACGCCAACCACAGCTCCACACTAACAACCAACAACAACAGCAGCGTTGGTGGACAACTTAATAATGCAAACAGCCACCACCATCACCACTACAACCAGAGCAACGCTGGTCCAACCCACCCCCAGCACCACCACAACCATGGAGCCAAATCTCCTGACTTCACCAATCAGAACTCAGACCAGGCCAATGAGGAGTGGGAAACTGCTTCAGAGAGCAGCGACTTCACAGAGTTCAGAGACAGGGAGGCAGGAGGCGGGAAGTCTTATCCCTCTCACCATCACCCGGGAAGAGGAGGAGGAGGCGGCGGGGGAGGTGGTGTGGTTGATCGAGATGTGACCGGCAAAGAGCCACTGGCGAATAAACGAAGCTTCTCGAGCCAGCGTCCTGGGATGGAGCGACAGAACAGGAGAGTCAATACAGGAGGAGGCGGGGGGAGAGGTCCTCGTGGTCCCCCAGGCGGAGGCTCCGGTGCTCCCGCTAACGGCGGGGGGAATCGTGGAGAGAAACGTGGCAACTGGCCATCACCGAAAAACAGGAAGTGATGGAGTATTAAAATGTTTTATTAGTTGACCCCTCGCACATTTCCATCTTAATCCCTTCTGGTTGTTATTTCGTAGCTTATTTGTCCACACCCCCCTAACACATTAGTGGATTGTGACGTATATGGAGATGGTATTCATATTAACTTCAGCTGAAACCTACGTTCCTTTTACATTCTCCTTCGTACCGTCCGTTATTGTGAAGTTACCTTTTTTTGTCTTGCTCTCCTTTTGTTCGGCTCCCTATTTTTTTTATTTTTTTTTCTGAATTTTTCACCCTTCTATAAACGTGCCGTGGTTGGATCTGAGAAGTGTTGATGTATTTCTAAGATTCCCACATCCTCCACACCTACTTGGATAGACGAGCACTAACACGGCATCTTGAAGAACACATTATTGAACAGAATTTTTGCTTGGATTGGGTTAATTTTTAGTTTCATAAGTACATTTCCACCTCACTTTGGCCTTGGGTGGGACTCAGGTTGTACAGGTCAGCATTAGTTCCCTCATAGAGGAAAAAAAATCATTTTTGATAACTGCATATCATAAATGGTTTGGTTTTTTTTGCTGTCTTATTTTTCAGCTAAAATTCAGCCTTCCACATACACAGCTCTGTAAAGGTAAAGATACTTACCTTCTCATTCCCCCTAGGTTTGTCTGTTTCCTCCTCAGTGCTCGCCTCCTCATGCTTTGATTTTTCTTTAATGGTTTTGTCGCTTCAGATAGATGGTGTGAATTTTATTTTTGCTCTAAATTGTAAATCTGCTCTGACATTTCAATAATTGTTTGTTGCCCCTTTTCTTTGTGGGATTTCTGTTCATGGCCTCATCGTAGCAAAATCCTTACCTGCAGAAATTTTACAAACTGCAAAAATCCCCAATAAATATAGTTTAATAAAGTTTGTTTACTGTATTGATAGCATGATGGCTCTATCTTAACAACCATTATTTCCTCAATGATCAGCATTTTTTGATTTTTTTTTTTTTCCTCTCCCCAAAATTTAAGTGTTGACCCAGACAGGAGTGGAAGAAAAAACTTCTTTAAATGCTGGTCATGATGTTAAAAGCAAATGTTTATTCTTTAGTAGATAATTGTATATGTTCTAATAAGCACTCCTTGTAGTATAAAACTTTTTTTGTTCCATTTCATTTTGTTTTCTTTTTGTGGTAACATGTTTTGGGGATGTTACTGGACGGTTTTTGCTGTCCGGGCCCACAGAACGGAGCCAGTGTTGTACTTTTTTAAAGCAGCCCCCCCTCCCTCCCTTAGCTGTCATGGGTGGTCCCATGCACAGATTAATCACACCTAGAAGGACTGGATCTGAGAGAAGTCATTTCTCAGAAAGCGCGCATAAAGATGGGATGGGCCGTTAACGGAAGACGGTGGCGATTCAGGACAATCCCGAACATGTGCGGTTCACACGGTCCGTGTGATTTTTACTTGCAACAAAATAAATGAAAAGGTAACTCAGAGTGACGTAGGATTACACTCAAAAGGTTGTTTTTATCACATGTAGGAGATGTAAAGCAGCTTATAACAGCATCCAAAGTGAACTAAAATGATTTCCTGATTTGCATCCTTTCTGTCACTGCTGTAAGTTGGGGCTCTTGTTTGTTTACTGAAAATAGTTTGAAGATTGTCTTTGGGATGTTGTGAGTAGGGCATTTGGTGAATATTGTGTGTGTGTGTGCGTGCGCGCATGTGTGTGCGTGGATGTTTTTCTGGTGTTATTAACTCGGGGAACCGGAGGGGTTAACACAAACGGCAAGCACTTTCTGCGTTGTTTGCCCCCCCCCAGCCCTCACTTGTGATTTAACAGATTTAAATCTTCTTAAATACATCCACATGTATACATTCAGCCGTGTGTATATGTTCAGCATCCAAATGAAGACTCTGCAGTGGGAAAATTTCACTATTTTTCTTTTTTTTGTGTAATTTAAAGCATCTTTTCTCCAGTAGGCGAGTGAAGTTGGACTTTTTTTTTTATTTTCACTCTGAACTCCTTAGCATGAAAACACAGCTGGGTGCTGCTTGCATTGCCTGTTACTGGTTTCTACATTGATAGCTGTACATTTAACACTGGCTCGAAGAGTCTCCCATCCCTCCTTAACGTTGACGTGCACATTATTGTATGTACCCATGTTAAAAAGATAAAACGGGAATGGTGTGTTCCAACGAAAATCAAAGATTGTATTATGTTTCCAGCATTACAGAGGTACACAGAGTGGTTCAAGCTGTTTTTAGCATTTATGGTTTTTAGTAAAAAAAAAAGCAACTTAAAAAGGAGCAGTAATATACACACTTGTATGTATATTGGTATGTATCTAAGTTCTGTCTACCCCAACTTACATTCCCACAAACAAATGTTGCAATTTTTAGTTCAAGGGAGCAATGTACAAGCAGAGAAGTGTCTTATTATAATAAAGTTATACAGAGAAGGCAAAAGTTAAATAAACTACTTTTGATTTAATGGAAAATAATTGCATCTGTCATTATTAAAGTGAAATGTAATTTTTTCTGTGCCACCACACAAAGTGCAAGAATGAGCTCGGGAACACAACAGGCAGATTTTTACATGTTACACAAAAGTTTTTACATTTTGAAAAGTCATTTTCACCATAGTTACTGTCCAAAACACTCTATGTTTAAAAAGTATGGTAAGCTGTAGAAACTGCTTGCTGCTCACTGTCCAATTATGGTAACGGAAGGATGTCGTAAACATAGGTCTACAGTTATCTATCTGAAAATTTTACATAATTTTGTGCTTTCCTCAGCTGGTAAAAATAAAGATGCTGTTTAATTTTCCAACCAGACTTTGCTACTATCTATACTACCAAACCTTCCTGTTCATATCATTATTGTGCATCACTGCAAAAACAAAAGAAAGTGTTAAGAAAAGCTCTGTGTTGAAGTTTTCTCTCTCTGGCTCTTTTCCTGAGAAGAGATCACTCAAGACAAACTGTTAATAACACTAATGTATAAAATAACCATGAAACTACAATAGATTTTTTTTTTGTATATATATATATTTATTCAGAATATGTCCATACAGGATTTACATCCAGGATACAATATTATTATTCTTTTCTTTTTTTTCTTTTTCCCCTTTAACCCCTCCCCCCCACCACAAAAATAAATAAAAAATACACCAGCCCATCCAATCTATCTATGTGGCAACACACTTAGTAACATTACATTTAGCACTATCCATATTCTTGAAAGGCCAGATTAAGGAGTAAAGGATACAACAAAAATATTAGAGGAATTGAACAAGACAGTATCCGGATCAGTCTCTCAGGTCTAGGCTAGTAAAGAGACTACAATAGAAATTGTAATCTTACTGATCAGAGAAGTTTAGGGTTACAGAAGGCAGCGCTTACCAACCGGGCTCACATATCAGAGTGGCCCCAAAACACAGTAATAGCATTTTATACAACACCAATCCCAAATGCCACATCATTACATCATGCAAGTTTGTAAACAAGGCTTACAAAAAACAACATGGACATCTCTCTTTTATTGGAGTAGAGCACCCTTTGCTCTGTATGGAAGAAAGTGAATTGTACTTGTCCTGGTATGAGTTCCACATGACTCTTGGGACACCTGCCTTTAGGGGTTTCCATTAGTCAAATTTTGAGAAAAATTCTTGGCAGATAAATATCTCCAGAGCGGGACTGGCCTAGGGACTCCAAAGGATCCCTGGACAATGAGCAGAAATTAGTCTCCTAGTAAAGAAAGGTCTGTTGTCCTCCAACATCTTACCGGGCCTGGTATAATAAAAGATGGATTGGATAATAACAGGTACCTCTTCCTGCAAAGGCATACACAACATTGATTTATCATTAGATACCCTTAAGTTCTGCCATTAAAAGTGGATGCTCTCTAAGTTGCCTGAAAAAAAGGCTTGATACAGTCTGATTTTTGGTGTGTCTTAATTTATTTTACTAATTACTTCTATTTTTTATTTTGTATATAGTCATTGTAGATTGTTTTACACTGGAAGTTCAAATTCAGCTCTGTTGGCAGTTTCCAGATTTTTGTAACTTAAGATGAAGATGTTTTATAGAATAATTTTGCGGATTCATTGGAAAAAGTCAGAAAAAAAATATTATACAACCCTTTCTCTATTTAATCATTGATGTAAAAGTACATTATCTAAATAATACAATGAACACAACAAAAAACAAGGTTGGTTTCATGATTAATAGAAAAAAATAAATATTAGTCCAGTATTTGTTCCATGACTATTTCATCCATATTGGCGGTGTACTGCCAGGAGGCACCACAAGGCGGCAGCATCGAGCAAGCAGACTCCGTAGGTAGGGAGAGGAAGATCCTGCAGGGTGAACCGGGAGGGGGTGTCCATTTTATTTACAGTTGGAAATAGCTTTGCCACTAACAATCGTTTTTTCTTTACCTTTAAAAGTTATATAAAACTTTCAGGTATGTACTTGTTCTATAATAACTTCTGTGTATAAGAAAAAAGGTCAAAAATCAGAGTATAACCGGTTTCGAGAGAGAGCGGATGTCCGTTTTGAGGCCTGTTATCCGACGCTACGCCATTAGCCGTTTTTAACCTGGCGAGCTAACGTTGGTCTCATTAACCACGGCGTTTTATTTTCTACAGATCTTAATTTGAATTAAAAAATCAACTATTTTTAAGTTTAGTGACTTGTTGGAACATATTCTAAAACTGGTTTATTAAATGTAGGCTTTTATAAGAAACCATGCTCTTTAGATTTATGTGGTTCGGAATTAGCCGTTTTAGCTGCGAAGTGATGATTTCCTTCATAGGTCATGTATTTTCCATGGCGGTTATAAGTTCATATGTATACTCTGATGGAAATATTGTAATACATTTTGCTACGGAAATGAAAATGATTTAGAAACATTTGTGTATTCACGATATATTACCCCTAAAATAACTATAACGGGCCACAGATCTTCAGTAGCTACTCAATTTTTAACACTCTTTATTAGAGTAACTCTTCATTTCATAGCTGTTGTGTGAGTAGTCTATTTTTTATTTTTAGATATAATGTTGAATCTGTTTTCTGATCTTGTTTTGGCTGCTTTTTCCCCCTCCTGGATCCTTATTAGATCTAAAGCTAGATGTTAAAAGGTTGTGTTCTCTTACTGCTCTAGGTCTTTAGAGATGAGCAGTTCAGAGGAAGTGTCGTGGATTTCCTGGTTCTGTGGACTGAGAGGGAATGAATTTTTTTGTGAGGTAAGTCACCCATCTCTGCAATCGCTATGTTACAGTCATTTTTTAATGAAAACATGGGTTTCAGTTTTGATAGCCTAGTTGCTTTGCTACTGTTTTACATGTTAATATTTTTAATCAGCCATAACTTTATATTTAGCTAATCAATTTTTACTTTATTGTGGTTTTCTCTCAGGATATCACCCCCATTTCCATTGTGGTTCTGATCCCCTTCTGTACAGATGCATGTCATTAAAATTAGATTTTAAATGACTGTTCAGAGTCCCAGGTTCTCTGTTTCTAATGGCCCTGTTTTGACACGTTTTGTACCTCAAATTGATGTCAAGCCAAGGAGGTTAAAAGCCATCTGTTTTTCATTGAGCGTGTTTACATGCTTAGTAGAAACCAATACCTGGGAAATCAGATGACCTTTACATCAGATCTGACATGTTAAGATGCACTGCAGACATTAAGTATTCAGCAAATCCTTGCCAACATGTTCCACGCTGCTATCAATTTTCAGGCTTGCTGGATGAGCCTGCGAAGTAATGACTGGTGATAGAAAGTGATATTTAAAGTATTCATGGGTTCACATTGCAGTCATGAAGCTGTAAGCTGACTAAGAATGTAATAAGACAACTCTCAGATGTTAAGCAACAAAACAAATCAGAATGGCATTGAGCTTGGGCTAATTGCAGTGATGTACTGGTAAGGCATACCCCTGTGGTGCTGTTATTTTTGGGATTTCCAAATGTCCGTCCTCACATTTCTTATCACATATGAGTGTTTACATGGTCTCTTCTTTGACCGTGCAATTTAGCCAGTAATCAAAAATGCATTTGTCGTTATTGACAAAAATTGCATTTATTTCCTCTGCACTTACCACAAGAATATACATGTGTTGCTGCTGGGTTGTATTGTTTTGATGTCCTTAAATGTTATTGTGCGAGGATAACAAGAATCTTGTGAGATTTCACTATTACATGGAACAGTGTTTCTAGCTCGCATGCACGGATCTGCAGTCTAACTTGAACTCTCTTCTGTTTGGAAGAAAACCCATTTTAAATCTATTACCACCATATAACGGCCAGGGTGATAAACGGTGTCTTACTCAAGTGTAAAAAAAAAACAAAAAATGGGTTGCTCTGCAATTTTGAAAGAGCATGTTTTTAAATTTCTGCTACATTGCGCTCATTTTACTAACCCTAATTTCTTAATAAATTGGATATCCCCAAGAATCTTAGCACAACCAGGTTTCTGAGTGCATACAGTCAGGCTCATTGTGTTGGATCAGAAGCACATGCAAGAGTTGTTGACATAGGCTCCTACAATAACTGGAGTTTAAAACTTTTTTGTGAATATCTGGAAATTCTGTAGATTATGACCATTTTTTTGATAGTAGTATGTTGCAGGTCTACCTTTATTATGCAAAGACAAGGATATGTGAAGTTATATTTTATTTGACTTGCTTTGTTTTATTGAACTATAGGTGGATGAGGACTACATCCAGGACAAGTTCAACCTGACAGGACTTAACGAGCAGGTTCCTCATTACCGCCAGGCTCTGGACATGATCTTGGATCTCGAACCAGGTCTGTGTTCTCATTATTCTTACAGACCTCATGCTTTATGCAGAAGTTGTGAGCAGAAATCTTGAAGGAACGGCGGATGTTTGACTTTCCTCTGTTGCTGTTTCTTTTCCCCTCATCTGTTGTCATTTTTACCCTTTTAAGACTATTTTTCTCTTAACTTATTTTATTTAAGCCTTTTCAGTGAATTTCCCTGATCGGAAACATCCCCTTCCGTTTTACTCATGGTGCCTGATGCCGCGTAAAATTGTCTGGGTGTAGATTATTCACAAGTGATTCAACAAAACATTGCTCTGATTTTTCCATCTTCAGATGAAGAGCTGGAGGATAATCCCAACCAGAGCGACCTGATTGAGCAGGCAGCTGAGATGCTTTACGGGCTCATCCACGCACGTTACATCCTCACCAACCGAGGAATCGCGCAGATGGTAGGTCACTGTATGGGTCACTTTTAACGCTTTCAGTATTTCTGCTGAATATGGTTGACTGCAGATCTAGGAATTAGTAATATATTTTCATTTAAATAGAAATTAGAAATTAAAAACAGATAAAAACAAATGACAGTAAAATCAGCTGCTTTATATTACATTGTAAGAATAAAGAAACAGATAAGATAGATGGCCTCTATAATTCAGCTTCATATACATTTTTCTTTTTTTTTTTTATATCCAGCTTTGTTTGGGTCTTTTTGTTTTTTAATAAAGGTAGCCATTTCTTCTGTATCCATATTCATACAGTTGATACTATTTCAATGCAATTAGAGTTATAATGAAAGATTAAACTCCAGTTTAATCTGGTGGTTCTAAAACAAGTCTCCTTTAGAGGAACAAATCTCCCAACAAATTGAGTTTATATCCATTTTTTTCAGCCGTGTGTATATGTTCAGCATCCAAATGAAGACTCTTGCATTGGGAAAATTTCACTATTTTTCTTTTTTTGTGTGTAATTTAAAGCTTCTGTTCTCCAGTAGGCGAGTGAAGTTGGACTTTTTTTTTATTTTCAAAAAAAATAAAAAAAGAATATCAGCAAATTATTCTGGTTTAAACTAACTTATTAGTACTCATTGTGAAGGAGTTTATTTTAACCTGTCAAAGCCACTGATGTATGATGTCATGGATTACCATAGAAACAAGGGAAACTATGTTCATGTCTTTATTTTTAATGTTATAATAGTAAAAACTGGATGTTAAATGGCATCTAATTTTATATTTTTAAAATATTTTTTTTCAGCTGGAAAAGTACCAGCAGGGAGACTTTGGATATTGCCCACGAGTATATTGTGAGAATCAGCCCATGCTTCCTATTGGTGAGTTCAAATCCTACTTTTTAGCTTCAAACTAAAGAAAGAAACAGCAGGAGCTTTTTAAGCTCTTCTTTCTGTTGTTTGATTTTACTTTGGCTGAACAAGGTTTGTGTGATGTGGACGGTAGATTTTTAACATACGTGACTTGCAAGGGATCAGTGTAATGCTGTCAATATTCCATTTCCATGTAATTAAGTTGAGCTGCAGCCACGTGTCCAAGTTTAAAGCCGTTTTTCTTCTCTTCTTCATCTGCAGGCCTGTCAGACATCCCTGGAGAGGCCATGGTGAAGCTCTACTGCCCTAAATGCATGGATGTTTACACACCCAAGTCCTCCAGACACCACCACACAGATGGAGCCTATTTTGGCACCGGGTTCCCCCACATGCTTTTTATGGTTCACCCTGAGTACAGGCCCAAACGGCCTGCCAACCAGTTTGTCCCACGGTTAGTAAGACAGACGTCCCGCAACCTTGTTTATCTGGTCTTACTGATGAGCATTAACACGGTTTTCGATGTTTATGTGCAGCACAGCCCCCCTGCTCTCTGCCTGATATCTGTTTGTTACCATTTCTTTTCCACAGTCTCTATGGCTTCAAGATCCATCCCATGGCTTACCAGCTACAGCTGCAGGCCGCCTCCAGCTTCAAGAGCCCTGTCAAGGCTATTCGCTAGGAGCCTTGGAGCAGGAAGAACAAGGAGGAATGTGGAGAAAAAAACGTCAGGAACGAATCACATGGAGAGGGGTCACCTGTATATCCACAGGTGCCCCCTCCCCATCATGAAGACTGTATTGTTTTTGATTTAGATTAGCCCATAAGGGGGAGAAAAAAGTTAAAGATTTAAGTAAAAGCAAGAGAGAAAAATAAAACACACCGAGCCATGATTATTGTGAGAAACATACACACATGTAGGGCAACAGACTTTAGGTTGACTGTACCAAACTCATCCGTGCCAAAAACAGAAGGTTGGAGGAAGCTTAAAGCAGAGGGGCTGCTCTGCATCACAGGTTGATTCTTTGTTTTATGGAGAGAAGGTTTAAAACGTGTGAGCCAGCGGACAGCCCCGGCTCGGTGCTGCTTCTGTAAACCCTTTGTCTTTGGTAAGCCTCCTCTCCCCTTTGAGCTCAGGCTGACGCTCGGAAACACAGTTTGGATGCTGCTAGCAGGTGGTTTTTTCTTCATCACTCATTTAAACAGATACGAACCAACAGATTTCTGGGGCGGTTTTGTGGAACTTTTGTGTTAAATCTGCCTTAAGGTACAAGAAAAAAAGGATTGATTTAGGAAACAAGACAAATCTGACTTTGGAATCGTCAAACAATTGTAATCAATGATCCTGTTTAAGTTTCTCCCATTGTCTGTGCATGCGTGAAAGCAGCCCTCTCCACTCTTATTAATAAAATACCCCCTCCACCCCCAGCAGCAGAAGTGTACGGTCCGATTCCCGCTCCTCAGAAATAGTTTGTCTGCAGTTAAGTCTGGCTCATATCAGCTGCCTGTTGAATCTAACTGCTGATCCTGTTGCAAAGATGGGTAGATCTTTGCAACAGGACTAACAGTTATGGGTTCAGTCTATTTAGAAACAGAAAAAGTAGAAAGGGTTTCTTGGACTTGCTGTCTTCATCTATGATATATCTATATTTTTTGTATTGTTACCATGAACTAGATATAGATATGACCTTTTGCATTTCAAAATGTATAAATATCCTGTTTTTGGCAGAAATGCATAAATACCAGCTGGACATTCAGCTGTTATTTTCCGCCTCTAACGGAGACAGGACCCAAACGTACCTCTGTAACAGTCTGGTTGTTGTCTGTTACACTCAGTATTCATTTTATAGTGAATCTTTTGCTCCCTGTCCCATTTTCTGACAGCAAGAAATGGTTCGCCCAGTCATACAGTACAGCATTCAGTTCTGTCATGTTGTAAGTCTGGATATTTTTGGGGGAAAATATTATCTAGTCCATGATCTACCAGGGCAAAAACACAATTTCTATTTGTTGTTTGTTTATTTTTATATTTGGATACATTCCACCAAATCTACTAGTTGAAGTTTGGCTGTCTTAAGGTTCTGAGGGCAAAACTTGGCCAAGTTTTGTAGTTTTCCTTCAGTTTGTTTCTTCTAATAGCGGATCTCCCATCAGGGTTTTCAAGCAGATGTTTTTGAGGTTCAATCAGACGCCAAACTACTTGAGTAAAGTTTTACGAACAATGTCAAAGCTTGTTTAATAAGTTGTTTCTGCCATAGGATACGCTAGTCTAGGTTTCACAAATCATAGTACACCTTGAGTTAAAGGGCAGCGGATCTATGAAAACAGGTCCTTCTACCTACTGTCGAGTTTGGTGTTTATTTGGGCAAAGACAGACAATAAAAGGCCACTAGTTAAGTGTTTTGTGCTTATTTATATCAAAGATAGAAAGAAACGCTGAACAAAATGTTCCTTAGTTTAATAAAAAATTCTACAGCTTCTGTATTTTATGGAAAATATCTGAAGATGTAATGAGTTTTGAAACTTCTGCTTCAAGCTCACAGTAACAACAGATTTGTGTGGTTTGAAGAGGATTTTGGGTTGGGGCGTACTCCTTCAAATCAGTTTATCCCTAAACCAGCTCTCCTAGCATGTATGAGTTAATTCCAGGTAGTGTTAAATCCCTTCTAATTATTGCCCAAATCTTACTAAGAATTCATTTGTATTAATTGATATTGCAAAATGTTTCACTGTTGGTTGGAGTTCTGATCTGTTTGAAGTTATTAAACTGTCATCTAAGATTATACTTAATAAGAACCTGTGACGTGCCACATTACCTAAACAAAACCAAAATAAGGTTTCAGATCTCTTGTTGAAGAAATGTTGTCTTGGACTAAAGTTTTGATTTTTTTTATCTCACATATCCAGATCTAATGACAATAGGTTGCCTCATGAGCAATAAGAAGCAAAACGTTAAACTATTTCTGAGGAGTTTGACCATCGGAATCGTTCCGTTCGTTCATCTGCTGCGCTGATCCGACCTAAGTCTGTCCTTTATCTTTATGTTCTTTGTCAAAGAGGGACTCTCCAATGACAGGATTTGTGTTTAGTCCATTTTCCCCGCAAGGCAGCAGGCCGTCTCCTTTTTTTGTGTGTGTGACTGCACCAGATTTTCATTTCAGAGGCTTCATGACAGAAACTGTATTTATGTGTCTTGGTTTTAACTCATGTTTGTGCGACTGTGGAAAGGTGAGCAGGTTTCGGAAAGTCAATAAACTTCTATTTTCTTTTCATGCATTTTGTCTTCTTTGTAATTCAACCAAGGTGCCACTAGATGTCAGCATAAAGATAAGTATCCCAGACCATACTAGTTCGTTTGTACTTTTGCATGTTAGCCATATAGCTGTTAATGTTAACTTAAACTACCGGTAGATAGAATTTGGCCAAGTTCTGAGTTTAGGGTTATATTAATTTTGTGCTTTGAGTCTTGATGTCTGTCCATTTTTATGCATGTGTTTGAACTATAGAGCAATCTAACCTACATTTGTATGTCAATGCTTGTCATTTGAAGTCAATCGGATGCAATTCGGTAACTTGATAATATAATAATAGTATAACTTAATTATAATCGGTTTTATAATTGGATAACTACTTTTCAAAAAATATTTATCTTTGAAATTACCCTGATTTAAAAGCTATAACATTTAAAATTAAATTCCAACAACTTTATCTGAGGAATGAGCAAGGGCATAGGTTTGATTTCAACTTTGGTAGGGACACTATTGGTCTTCATTTTCATTGGTCTGTCATTGGTCCTATGCAAAAAAATGCATGCAAAAATGCATGTTTCACCTTGTTTAATTTAGTAAAAAAATCTTTAAGGAACCTTTGTCTATCTGATTATTAATTGATTAATCAAAAAAATAATCAACAGATTAATCAATTTGCAAAATAATCATTAGTTGCAGCCCTAATTTTATGGTAACATTCCAAACACATTTCTTTCATAATACAGCACTGAAGGCATTATATCTGTGTTTCCTACAATCATATGTTTCTATTATACAAGTGGGTTTTTAATTGCTTTATATTGCTTACTGTCTGGCTGTTTAAATTGCTCCTTATGTCTATTTTCTTTTTAGTGGCATCATCTACAAAACACAACACTAAGAATGAGCCTAAGTTTATTTAAATATAAAATCACTTTTAACAATTACAAAAAACAATATAGCACTATCTTATCTGTAATGTAATAATATCCAAAATAAACAGCCAGATTCAAGCATTATTTACCAGTCAATCAGTCAATTAGTTTGCACTAATTTACTTATGGACCGTGTGGAAATCTTGAAAAATAGAATCAATGTAAATAGAGTTCCTCTGTTTGTCTTTATCCTATTTCTAGAAGTAGAAGTTAATTAAATAGCACTATTTAAATGTGGAAAACAAAAAATAGCAGATCTTATGTTCTACAAAAGAAATACCACCTGTTATTTATACCTGAACTGCCATCAAAAATGAAAACATTAATAGCAAGGAAATATTGGTAAGGAATCAGAAATGTTGATAGTTTACAGTCTTTGTTCATTTTACTAGCTGTTTTCTGAACCCCTGTCTGACTCAGAATATTTAGTTTTATAAAGAAATCCTTACGTTGGTTACTTTCATTTCTCAAGTTCATCAAATCCAAACCCTCTCCTGCTTCTTTGCAGAACTGCAATCAGCAGCTTTCACCTGTTCTAGCGTAGATGACATTTAGTTTTTTAATTGGGACTAGTTTCGTAGCCTAATATTAATTTTTTGTAACCGCCGTATTCTAGCGTGATTTTTTTGTTTATTATTTTGCGCTCACATCCCCAGAGCCAGTCTAAGCGCCCGCGGATCAGGTCGCCGAGGTCTCCGCCTCTGGCTGCCGCCCAATCCACTTTGCACCGGTCCCTCATGGTTCCCCCTGCAGTTGGTGGGCCCACTGGGGGATGGCCTCGCGCCGCTCCTTCGGGCTGGGCCCGGCCGGGTCCTGCGAGGAAGAACCCGACCACCAGGCGCTCACCAAGGAATCCCAACCCCAGGCCTGGCTCCAGGGTGGGGTCCCGGCTCCGCCGTACCTGGCGACGTCACTTGCCGCGTTGTAGTGCTCATCATAAGGGTTCCTCCACTTGAGTGGAGGAGTTCAAGTATCTTGGGGTCCTGTTCACGAGTGAGGGAAGAATGGAGCGGGAGATCGATAGACGGATCGGTGCGGCTGCTGCAATAATGCGGACGCTGTACCGGTCTGTCGTGGTGAAGAGAGAGCTGAGCGAAAAGGCAAAGCTCTCAATTTACCAGTCGTCTACGTTCCTACCCTCACCTATGGTCATGAAATTTGGATCATGACCGAAAGAAGAAGATCCCGGATACAAGCGGCTGAAATGAGCTTTCTCCGCAGGGTGGCTGGGCTCTCCCTCAGAGATAGGGTGAGGAGCTCGGTCATTCGGGAGAGGCTCAGTGTAGAGTCGGTTCTCCTCCACAACGAGAGAAGTCAGTTGAGGTGGCTCGGACATCTTCTTCGGATGCCCCCTGGACGCCTCCCTCGGGAGGTGTTCCAGGCACTTCCCACCGGGAGGAGGCCCAGGGGACGACCCAGGACACGCTGGAGAGACTATGTCTCTCGGCTGGCCTGGGAGCACCTAGCGCTTCCCCCAACAGAGCTGGAGGAGGTGTCAGCGGAGAGGGAAGTCTGGGAGTCTCTGCTTAGTCTGCTGCCCCCGCGACCCGGTTCCGGATAAAGCGGGAGATGATGAGTACAAGTATTTTGCGTTCCAAGCGCGCGCGCACACACATAGAGACTAGAAAACAAGCAATCAGAAAGAGAGAAGGAGGAACTTAAGGTGGAAAAATCAGAGAGTGGAGTTAAACATTGCAGCACAGTTGATGCGATGCTACGTAAAATGTACAGGAAAGACCAGGCAGCTGCAGCTACCAGGCAGAAGAGCTGCAAGAGGAAAATGTTTGCATGTTGTTCACATGCAATTGTTGGTAGGGACAATTAGGTCGGTCTACAATTTTGGTAGGGACATGTCCCTATGGTCCCTATGCAAACCTACGCCCATGCGAATGAGACATTTGTAGCCTATGTATTTAGCTGTGTTGGTTGATTCTTTAGCTCCAGTTTCTGTTTGACGATTACTCTTGTTTCTGGTGCACTTTTTCCTTCCACACGTCTTCCTTACAGTAAATACTCTGTTAATATGCTTAGGCTCCATCCAAAATTATCAAGTTGTTCTTTTACCTTTAAAAGGTTTCAACAGTAAGAACTCAAGACTGCTGCGTAGGATCCAGACACCCCCCAACCTTTCGGGTGTCATTAGGCATCTGAAATGCACATGGTTGATGCTTGTCAAATGGGCTTACAACCCCCTAATAGACCAACTACAATAGTTACACAACTGTAGTAAACTTCCCTATAAAATTATTGGTCTACTTGCCCAATGTGAGATATTGTTTAAAGCCTCAGGAAACCTTTGCTGGTGTGCTGTAATTACCAGATTAGGGAGTGACGCCATGAGTTTCCAGGAAAGAACTTTTTTTTTAGTGTAGGCCTACTATTTTTTCAGACACTGAATTTTGGGTTTTCATTATCTATTAGCCATCATCAAAATTACTTGGTCATTATGAGTTGGTATATGCCACATAAATGACAATTATATAAGAGTTCAACTGTGTCAGAAGACAGTTTTATAGCTTTGGGCAATATTCAGATTAGTGGCTGTGACTCATGGTGGGTTCTGACCACATTTAGTACAGCAAAACATCCCCAAAATGGGATGGGGGATTTTTATGGGACACTCCAGAAGTTGCTTTATGGCAAAGTTGTCCTCTGATCTGTTTTCCAAACATTTACATTCTAGGCTTGTGTCGAGGCATGGAAGTCATGGTCTTTCTCTGGCAAACCTCTGCCTTTCCATTCACGTTTTTTCTTAGAGACCAAAGGTTTCTGGCTTGTAAACCTCTCATGAAAGTTACATTACTGCTGTCTCTGTAGAATATTTTTTGGTACAGTCGAGTGGCTAGCATCAGATTTATTTGAGAGCTCATTAAATCCCTCACCACCCTACAGAACACCTTTGATAAACCTTAGTTACTGGTCAAGGTGTTCATTCTCACTTCAATTAGGAGCACATCAGACCTAAAGTCCAGGGGGTTTAATAAGGCAAAACCTCCAACTAAGATCAATGCTCTAATCCCATAGACCTGGTGAGATACAGCTATATGTAAATCTAACTATTTTAGTATAAAATAATAGCATATGTAATACAAGTGTCCTGATATGAATATCTCAATATGTTATTTGATTATTTGCATTTTTAATATTGGTGTTATATATCCATAAGAAATATCTTCAGGAGCATTTTGTGTCAAAAGGATGTAAATGGAGCAATTTAATTGCAATTGTCTTTGAGCCAAAAAAAAAAAAAAAAATGCAGAAGAAAGTTGAAGCTTGTGGCCATTTCTGACCTGTCATTGGGCAGGTAAGGCCTTACAAAAGAAATGTCACATGTAGTAATGACAATCGACCCTGAACTAGAGAAAAAAAAATCCCACTGGATAATCCATAAACATTTTAACTATCTGAGTCCCTAACCTCAATATGTGTTTATGGGTGCTGGAAAGTATCTTGTGCACAAAGGGCGTTTTCTTGTTTGGGTGTGTGGCTGCAGTGTTTCTCATGCAAACAGCAGTAACACAAAATCATAAGATCCCAGTCATGTTACTATGATTAAATGTGTCATCTGAATGCTCTTTATTCAACACTATTCATACAGTTTAACGGGAAATTGAAGCCAACATGTCACATGTTGGGTTCTAATTCTTTAATTTCACTAGAGACCTGAGAAACTTGGATTTGTTCTCTCTTTAAATCTGCCAGTATTATGTTGCATTGGCAACATGACTGGAACGCCTGGGTTTTCCTCATGTGGCTGCTAAGGGGAGGAGTTTCCCTTTTGACTCAAGATATCCTTAGACCATATCATGGGACCTTCCCTGCTTCTCTTCCTCTTTTGGTTGTATTTAAATGTTTGAAAACTACAACACAGAGTGACCTTCTTTTTCCTCTATAATGACTCAAACTGACAGTGCTTGTTATAATTCACACCATTTTTAGTCTAAAAAGATATTTTCTGACTAAAGTCCAACAACATTTGAATCAAACACTCTGCTGTATCCCACCCAGATGCAACCCTTTTCACTAAAATAACTTTTTACTTTTCTTTAATGCATTGAAAGTTAAACCAAAGGGTTTGATTTCTGTAAATTAG